TGCTGTGGCGACCGCTAATTGATAAAGGGACTAAGCCAAAAAGAAAATAAAGAAATAAAATGAAAGGTACGGAATGGCAGGAGGTTGAGTAAATGATCTAAACAATGCTAGAATTTTCTAAAGCACCTACAGCATCTGATTTGGAGCAAATCCTCAGAGAAATGTCGGACACCCAGCAACAGCCTTGGCAGAAGCTGACAGATGCAGCTCAAGGCTTGGGTGTTTAAAAACTACATTCTTCCAGGGTTGCCAGTTCTCCTCTCCTCCCCTTCACATCTGTGCTGATATACAGAGTGAGATCTCTCTGTCAATGTCACAAAAACTGCTGCTCACAAACTCCTTTCTTTTTTAAAACTACAGTTAACTTCCAGAAAAAATACACTTGTAGAGGTGAAGCAACAGTTCTATCGCAAAAAAAGAAAAGAAAAAAAGGTTGTGCTGTTTGATGTTTATAATAATCTGAGCGCTGTGATCTTTTCCAGCTTTCATGCAGATGGTTATCAGATCTGGCCTAATCCTGTTATGCCCTCTAGTGGATGAACTCAAAATACAGTCTATGAGAGCAATTTAATATTTATATTGTTATATTATATTATATTTATATCTATATAAATACAATATAATAATAATAAAAATAATAATAATAATTATTATTATTATTATAAATATATTCTATTATTATAGTCCCAAGAACAGAGACAAACCAGAGACAAAAATGGCTGGTGTGTGTCGAAGTAACCAAACATTTTTACAACATAATATACACCCATTCATGACAGTCAAACAGTTTTGTTTGATAAGACCTCAACGTAATGTCATGGGTATAAGAAGAATTCATTTTGTTTGGCCTGTTTATGTTTTTTCTGACTGTTAATGTGCCAGTAACCACTGATTTAAAGAGATTTAACAATTTACTCATTATTTATTTAGCCTCCCTTACGTGGTTTGAAAATCTTTCTTATGTTGAAGACAAATGAAGATATTTTGAAGTATGCTGATAAACCTGTAACTACTGATTTCCATAGTAAAAATAAATCAATATATAAATAAATAAATAAATAAATAAATACTATGAAACTCAACGGTTACAGGTTTTCAGCTTTCTTTAAAATATCTTCTTTTGTGTTCAACAGAAAAAAGAAAGTCATAAAGAATAAAAAAACAGTGACATAACTTTAATGTTTGAACGAACTTTCACACAAAAATGAAAATTACTCCATTACTCAAGCCATCCTCTGCGTATATGACTTAATTTTCTGTTAGATGAATACAGCCGGAGTAGCTTTAAACTTTTTTTCTTTTTTACTTATTGATCCACATCATTCTCATTTGTGCAATGTTTCTATGCATTGCAATTTTTTTGGATAACAAGTATGAAAAAATGCTTACAAAAATGGCCTGAAAGTGAGTGAATTATGCAGCATTTTTCACATTAAATCAACAAGAATTTGACATTTTTGGTTGAGCGATGCCTTTTAAGAAGTCTTACATTACAGTGTTTTTAAGAACAGCCACAGTTATTGTTCACATTTAACAAACTGTAAACAAGCAAGCACTGGCCAGGAAATGTATTGAAAGTGGAACCCTCAAATTTGAAACATGCTGTTTTGATTTAAAGCACTGATTTTCCTACGGTTCTAGGAAATATTTTACTTTATAAATTGTATGAAAATTAAATATGTTTCCTTTTTAAAAAACATTTTCTTTATTTAAGCAATAATATGCTAAGTGGGTTTCTTAAAAAAACAAACTTAAGTCTGTGCTAAGGCATAGATGGAAATTAAGTTTTCAGGTCTACACCTAAAAAAAGTGCACATAAATGTTGTTTATGATTATTTGATTAAAAAAAGCAGCTAATAAATAGCCATGGGAAGATAAACGGTTTCAAGGTTTACTGTGGTTTGGAAAAGTCAAAGTTTCAAAAAATTTTGTGTTATACCATTTCTAAGTTACACTGTAAAAAATGCAGGGTTCCATACAATTCAATTATGCTGTCCGAACACAAATAGATTAATTGTTTTTACAAATTGATGTGGATTAAACAAAAAAAAATTAAGTTTAAAAAACTCAATAATTGTGTCGATTCAGCTTGTTTTAAATAAGTGGTTTGAACAAACAGCAACCTTAAATTTTGAGTGTAAATGTAGGTTTTATTCGATTTTCTACATGTTATCAAAAACTATTTTATTTGTTTGTTTGTTTGTTTGTTCGTTTATTAATTAATTTATTTATTTAGGGCAACAGTATATCCAGCAGCAAAGGAGTATCCACATCCAAAGTTACTGCTCACAATTCAGCAAACAATTAAATAAATCCAAATAAATCGGCTACAAGAATGACAAGCATATGGACCTGAACAGTGCAGTATTGTGTTCAATAGGGAAAAAAGTTTTTTTTTTTTTTTTGTCATTTAAAAGGAACTTATTTTAGAGCAGTAATCACAATACCGTGCAACCGTGACATTTTTATTCAAGGTTATCATACCGTCTGAATCATATACCGGCCCATGCCTACTAATAAAATAAATACATGCATTTCTGAACAGTAGCATATTTTTTAGACTTCAAAAACAAAAAAAAAAACAGAAATGACACCCTTTACATATAAAATTTCATGTAGCACATGACAACAACTGTTTTTACACCAGCTTGCCATTTAAGCATTCCTCATCCCCCACTCTCTTCAACATGATCAACTATAACTCGTATCAGCGGCTGTATCTCATCACGACCTTTTGTCCTGGGCTTCTGTAATGAATCTGCATAATGGAGAAGACCCCAATTAAATCCTTGCTCGAGGAGGACTCGGCATCCTGGGTAAACAAACTTACCCTGACAGGGTTGTGGCGCGGGATAAGATAGCAGGAATGAGAAAATGAATTAGCTTCCTGACACACGTCAAAGCCAATCCAGAGGAAGAACCGAGGCACCTTTCGACACCTCTATTTTATCTGGCCCTTAGTATTCAACTACAGCCACCCGCTCGCATCCAAAATATATTCATTTATTCAGAAGCCCTTGGAGAAATCAGAAAAAAGAGAGCTTGTTGTTCTTTTTTCTTTATGTCCAGAGGGAGTTTGCGTGAATAACGTTTGTTAAGTGAGGCGGAAAATAAGTACAGGATCGGCCGCCTCAGAGAGATGCAAAAAAAAAAAAAATATATATATATATATATATATATATATATATATATATATATATATATATATATATATATATACTCACATATATGAGTGTCACCTTCATGTGTGTGTGTATTTTTTGCTCCCTTTATCCTCGTCTTCTGTTAGTAGGTGACATGAAGGTGGTGGAAATACATTCAGAAAACAAATGAAGAAATGTTTTGCTTGAACACATTGAGAGTTAAGATGCGGTGAAGGTGTTTGAAACAGTAGAACATTAATCAAAGGGTGAGGATGGGAGATATTTAAAAAAAGAAAGACATCTACTCTTGGGTGGGATTTTGGAAGGCTATGGTGTGTTTCACCCACCTTGTGGCTGCTTTTTACACTGCTAATTAGTTTAATTAGTTTATTTAGTATGATTAATTGTTGATATTTAAAAAAAAAAAGATGATTGAAAGAGCTGCTGAAATTTAGAACAGAAAGGATTGGAGGCCAAAATATTTGATGTTCTCTCGAAAATGATACCATGCTGGACCATTCTACAGCTTGATTTTCTTTCTCTGAAAGCATTTGAGACTTTTCTTGGATATGTTTGGGGTCATTGTCCTGCTGAAATGTCCACCGTGGATTAATCTTCATCATCCTGATAATGTAGATGTTGCACTGAAGCAGCTAATATTAATTTACAATAATGAAGGGCAGAGGGATGCTGAATAACTTCTGAAAGATTTCAGCTGCTGTCTGGGCTTTCACTGTTTTTCGACAGCTCCCTTTCCTTATGTGTTTGATACAGGCCTACAACTCCTCCCTGCTTCATTTATGGCATTCTTTCTATATGGATAAATTAAATATAGGGTGACATTTTAAAGTAGTAAATGTAAATGAAGCAAATGCAAATAAATTAATGACATCAGAATTTTTGGCAATTTTAGATCATTTTGTCACCCTAAAACTTTTAATTTTAGAGATGAATGACACACAGTGTGTAAATTTTACCACTAGAGGGTGCATATTCACAACAAACAAAAGCATATTACGATGACAGCGTGATTGAGTGTGAAATCATGGGTGCTTTTGATTTCCTTGCATCCTATGGGATTTCTGTAGAAATTGTGTTTATGAATGAGCTAAAGTGTTCAAAACTGCAATGTGTATATTATAACATATTAAAGCATCTTTGGTATTCAAACCAAATCAGAAATTAAAGGGGTAAAACATCATTAGCATGTTGGCACTTGTTAAAGTGGCTAATTTCTCTAAAACTAAACATTCTTCGAAATATTTGGGATAATGTAAGTAGTTGCATTATGTAAGTCAGCAAAATTTGCATTACTGTTTTTGAATATTTCAATGAAAACATCTTACACATTGTGCCTTTAATGTACTTAATTTTGCATAATGTACTTTTTACTAGTGAGAATAAATGACTAACTCCAAACTAAACCTTAACCTTATAGTAAGTACCTGCATTATTTGTGTTAATACTATATACAGTACAGTGGGTAAAGAAAGTATTCAGACCCCCTTATATGTTGCACTCTTTGTTCAATAATTGAAAAAAGAAGGATTGTGTGTGTGTGTGTGTGTGTGTTAGCAATGGGTTGGAGCATCTTCAAAACTTTAATAATTTAATAATTCTGCTGTCTTTATAGGGTGCTGCGTGTACATTATTGAGGAAAAAATAGCTTAAATGATTTTAACAAATGGCTGTAATACTACAGTGAACACATGAAGGGGGTCTGAATGCTTTCCATACCCACTGTATTTTAGAGTTATCCCTTTAAGAGGTACTTAGATTAAATTTCTAAAACCTTTGTACAATGATGTAAAATGATGCAGTAAGAATACTTAAAGTGCATACAGTAAATCAGCTTACCTCTCTTAGTACTGTACTGCCATAACCTCTGTACAGCCCTCTGAATCCCTGCAATGGGGAAACAAAAAGAGCTGTCATCTCTGCACAAACAAAAAACACTGCATTTTCATGACTGGTTGTTTTACAAAATGACGTGTTTATCAGTCAATCAATCCAACCATTCAACTGTCTGTCAGGTGAATTCAAGTGCATTGTGTGCTGCGAGCCTAGCTGACGATGCACACGCACCTCTTCCTGTAGTGAGTTCAGCAGCACTCTGTAGGTACTGATGGAGGGATTGGCTTGTGTCCTTTGCTTTACGACTTCAGTGGGCACACGGATCAGACAGGCAACCTGAGGAAGAGAAAGACAAACTCATCAGAACATTTAATAGTACTGTTCATACAAACCAAACGTTTTCATACAATACATGTTAAAAATAAAAATAATTACAAATAAAATAGCAAATATATAAAATTATAATAAGTCAATTAAAAATGTAGATTACAATTTGGTTACAATTAAATGTCACTAAGGAAAGATATGTTTTCTCTAAATTATAAATGAGTGCAACAAATTCGTAAAAATGCATATTGGTATCTTAAAACACTCCTTGCAATGTGATAGAACATACTTTTAAGTTCAAATCCATGTCTATGTATTTAAAATATTATAATGAAATATATGCAATGAAACAATACAATAATGACATATAATCTAAATAAACATACACAAAATGTATATGTGTGACAATTCTTTTCACAACAAAATAGTAAATAAATAAAGATTGAGCTGGAAAAAATAGGATAAAAAAATGTTAATAAAAATAAAGATTATCTGACAAATGAGGCTACCACTTTGTACTTAGGAACAATTATATTTATTATTACTTATTTGTACAACCAAAATATTTTCTACAGTCTAAATAATTTTGAGTTCTTGTAAGCCAGTGTTGGGTCAAATAAGACAAGCCTAACTGTTAGTAAAAATGTACATATTTGAATCAACATTGACTTATAGAAACCAAATCCAACCAACCAATCAAACCAACCAATCAAACCAACCAACTAATCCAACCAACCAATCAAATCAACCAACTAATCCAACCAACCAATTAAACCAACCAACCAACCAATTAAACCAACCAACCAATCAACCCAACCAACCAATCAAATTAATCAAACCAACCAGCCAACCAATCAAAACAATCAAACCAACCAACCAATCAAAACAATCAAACCAACCAACCAATCAAACCAATCTAACCAACCAACCAACCAACCAATCAAACCTATCTAACCAACCAATCAAACCAACCACCCGATCAAACCAATCAAACCAATGAACCAATCAAACCAACAAACCAACCGATTAAACCAATCAAAGCAACTAACCAACCAACCAATCAACCAACTAACCAATCAAACCAACCATTCAAACCAACCAAAACAATCAAACTAACAAACCAACCGACCAACTAACCAATCAAACCAACCAAAACAATCAAACCAACCAACCAACCAACCAACCAACCAATTAAACCAACCAAATAACAAATAACAAAAATACTAAAACTTAAAAAATTCAAATGAAAACTTTTTAAAAATCTAATAAGCGAAAAATACTTCTACGTATTAATACAAACTAAAGTGGTCAAAGTAAAAAAAGTTTTTCAAAACTGAGACTAAGATCAGAATTGGTGTTGTTCAACTGTTCTAGGACAACTTTGATGAAACGTTTTGATTCACTTCATGTTTTGATCCATCTCACTTTACGATACTAAAATCTATTAATAATATATATAAAATATATATATATATATATATAATATAATATATATATATATATATATATATATATATATATATATATATATATATAAAAGCACAAATGGCAAACAAATTGTGCACAACATATCACAAAAACACTCCACAAATCCATAAACATGCTTTGCCAATAGAAATGTGCCATTATTCAAACTCATTCTTCACAGCCTCTTCTTCCCGCTCTAAAACTATACTTGTGCTGCCTTACTTCTGATCCTCTCCATGCTGGGGGCAGAAATACCACTGTGAATCAAGGATGGAAAGCAATCTCCGCAGCAACGGGGTGTTCACCAGACCCCCACACCAGACCCCGGGGCTCACACTGGATCTGTGCTGCTGGAAATAATCTCTCCTGAATGACAGAGCGGACGAGGGGTGCTACTGTGAGACACATCTGGTCCACTCTGAGCCCTAGCCACATTTACAATTATGAGCAGCTTTCCAGTTTGGAGAACTTCCAACAACAATTCATGATAAGTTGAATTGAAAACACAAATCTTTTTGTGTATGTAAAAACTGTTATACATATTGAGGAACCAAATATGTGTGATGTGTGTAAATGTACAATTATTTTATAGCCCTCCTGTGAAATTTAAATTATTTTGAATACTTCCAAATATTTCCAATGTGATGTTTAACAGAGCAAACAAATCACAGTATTTTCTTCTGAAGAAAGTCTTATTTTTTTAATTTGGCAGACATCGACAGACATACAGACAGACGGACGGACGGACGGACGGACAGACGGACAGACGGACAGACGGACAGACGGACAGACGGACAGACGGACAGACGGACAGACGGACAGACGGACAGACAGACAGACAGACAGACAGACAGACAGACAGACAGACAGACAGACAGACAGATAGACAGATAGATAGATAGATAGATAGATAGATAGATAGATAGATAGATAGATAGATAGATAGATAGATAGATATTATTTCAAGTACAAATATATAATCTTAAATCTTATATCAAAGACATAAAGAAATAATACTGTTATTGCCTGGGTTTTGTAGCTGTGCATTATGCATTATTAATTTTGTCATGATTTGCTTGTGTTGCTGATGCTACATAAATTGTCTTGTGAAAGGACGCATAAAAGTAATACTATTACTGTTACTACAAGCTAATGTTTTCTGTATTATTTCTGCTGAAAGACTTGTTTGGTGTTTTGAGGTTTATTCATTGTCTGCAAGAGTATTTTCTTAATTACAAGTTTCCTTTTAGTATTTGATGATTAAAGTGCTTCCAAGTGATGCGTTGCGGCTGGAAGGGCATACGCTGTGTAAAACATATGCTGGATAAGTTGGCGGTTCATTCCGCTGTGGCAACCCCAGAATAAAAAAGGGACTAAGCTGAAAAGAAAATGAATGAATCACTGACTGACTGAATAAAGTGTGAGGACAATACTAATACCTCACTGAACCCAGTTTTTATGGCAACTGTGAACGCGATTGTTTACAGTAACTTAAGTTACTCCTATAATTCAGGCAAGCATCCTTGACTTGTGAACAGGCTACAGTACTTTGCACGCTGTATGAGTGTGAAAGGCAGTCACCAAATGAATGGCCACTTGGTCTGCAGAACAGCATGGTGAGAGAAATAGGCAAGATCCAGCTGAGGGGAATCTGTAATTGTTAAAAAAGTAAGGTCAGTGGGGAAGATTTATATTTTTACAAGGGGAACCTGTGCTGCAAGAGTGCCATCCTTTGGTGAAATGCTGGATTTGCGGAGCTATGCTCTGCTCTTTCTGACAGGGCTCATTTTACTAAGCTCATTAGGTTTTCTTTTTGCTGGGTTAACATTTATGAAACACTAAACATCACGTCTCCTTGTGTAATTCTCAAAAGGATCAAAATTATGGCTTTAAATAGAGAGGGAAGTGGATATGACAAGTAATTCTTGCAGTAATTGAATTGGTGTGCGCGAGTGTGCGGCATAGCAATTTTGTATCATCTCACAGGGGAGTTGATGGAGGACCGGTGAGAGATTATATCAGATCAATTACCGACATTGTGTATGTCGGGGTAATTTACAGAGAGCGGAGAGCAGGAAAAGTAGGCCGAGGACATTTTTAAGTAAGTGGATGTCGAAGTCTTAACATGACATTTAGAAATGTACCTTTATGATATGTATGGTATGCCACATGATTATCAAAGTGTTGACTTTAAGTGATAGCTTTGAAAAATGAAATAAAAATGTACTGGTAATTTACTGTAGGTGACTTTTTCCTTCATACATGTATAAGTACATATTTAGCTGAGGAAAAATGCAGGATCTTAGTAATTCATGTCAATGTCTACAGGCATTTTGAGTGTTCAAAAACATTTATAGGCAAAACTAAATTTAAGGGATAGTTCACTAGAATAAATGTTTTCTCACCATTTATTCACACTCAAGTGGTTATAAACGTATATAAATGGCCAGCAGCCATTGATTTCGTTAGTAAGTCAATGGTTGCAGCTTTCCAGCATTCTTCAGTGTATCTTCTTTGAATTCAACAACAACAAAAACTTTTGTTACAAGTGGATGAGTAAATGGTGGCAGAATTGTAATTTCTGGGTAAACTATCCATTTTACTAAATTTTTGCTCCTGCTGAAAATCTGACATCTTATGAAGCAGCATGGAACAGGAAGTTTGCAATCCAGAGTAGGTCAGATCAGTGCTTACAAACAGTTAATTACACACTACAGTTTGTAGCCTATTATTAATTGCAAAATACATATTTTAGAAATATGTTAGAAACAATCTAGATTACATATTTTAGGTAATGTAATCTGACACCGTTTTTTGGATTACTTTCGGATTACTTTTGACATAACTTGTTTAATCACATCAATTTGATTATTTTGTACTAACTAATCTGCAAGGGGGTTGTGAAACCATGACATAATTCAGTCATAACAATGTAAAATTTCATAAATATTTACTTATTTAAACAAAATTTTGTTTAACTGAGTCATGTAAGTAATTTTACCCTCAAAAGACGGGATTAGCCTACCAATCATATGAATTATTTAATTGAAAATGCATTTTATTGTCAAAGTCTTACAAGTTATATGTGCATGTGTGTGTGTGTGTGTGTGTGTGTGTGTGTGTGTGTGTGTGTGTGTGTGTGTGTGTGTGTGTGTGTGTGTGTGTGTATAAAAATTAGGGCTGCACAATATTGAATAAATCTGCGATTATATTGCGATATGAATATCATTACATCAGATGACTTGAATTGCTCTATTTCATTACTTTAAATGGACTAGGGTGATCAAGTGTTTTTCAATTCCCCACACCTGTATAAAATTTAATAAATTAAGCAAATACAGTTGAAGTCAGAATTATTATCGCCCCTTTGATTTTTTTTTCTTTTTAAACATTTCCCAGATGATATTTAACAGAGCAAAGAGATTTAAACAGTATGTCTGATTTTTTAATTTTAATTTACCCTTTCTTACCTAGTTAACCTAATTAACCTAGTTAAGCCTTTAAATGTCACTTTAAAATTTAAGAAATCAATTACTATTAGA